ATTGGTTTGTCTTCTTCGTGTGAACTCTATTATTTACAGTTCGCCGTGATAAAGCTGGCTTATTGCTGATAGTGCCATCAAACAATATTCACTCACTGACGAAATCCGAATTTGGACATGCTATTATTTCAACAGTTCCCTGCCATAACGCAGACCTCCCAAAATGCAGAGCTGATAAGGCAGACCAAGAAGTAAAGTTGATTAAATAACAGATGCTTGTCTCACCCAATTATTTAATAGACAATCCCAGCTTTCGAATAGCTTAGCCTGGCAACTCAAACATCTACTGGCTTCTCATAAATGACACCATGAACGACAATGTCGTATCAGTGAGTGAGTGAGTGAGTTGGGTTTAACGCCGCTTTTAACAGTATTCCAGTTATATCACGGCGTGACAGCTTAATGTGGGAGGAAAGTCCGAAGTGATGCAGGTCTTAGACGTTTACCACTTCGGTGAAACCCACGAGCACGGGTATGGTGCTGACAAACCTAGAAACATAATTAGGGCGAACCGGGATTCGAACCCACAATCATAGGTTTCTGGCGTGCCCAAGGGACGCAACTCTGCACAGCGAATCGCGGTGCCTTAGACGACTGGGCCACCCGTGCCCCCCAATGTCGTATCAACGTGGGTAGATGATGACGCTCGCATTACAATGAACATCTGGAACCACCACTCTACTATTGGACCAAGGACGGTTCTGGAAGGCTTCCATTCAAGACCGAACCGTTCCATGCAGCAGTAGCGTACAGACGTGTACAGATTTGTGGAACACATCAAGAAGATAGAGATATCAGAAAGAGCCAAAGTCAATCAGACTTTAGAGCTGCCCCTTTTCAGGAATATAGAATACAAATAAAACAACAAAAGCGAGCGTTCTATATCCAATTGAAATACTACAAAGAGTCGATTGTACGATTCCGACTATATCATGAGCATGTGTTTATGAATCACTATTAAATGATGATACCAGGTGATTATGAAAAGGTTAGCGTATCCTGCGCCACCGGTGGCACCAGTCACAAACACATGCACAGGCAAGTAAATTGTTCGCTGAAAAAAAAATGGAGGAAGATATGGTACAAGTTAAAATAGGGAAATTGCATGGACATCATTTTTGTCCCTGATGCGTCAAATTAGGAAATGTCCTCCATATGTCCACCATAGCACTTTTTGAAAGCTTTACTGTAACCTTGATCAAACAACTTCTGAGCAAAATTCGTTTGACGCTCTTTGAAATCTTGGTAGAAAGAGCATGCTTGATTATATCTCAAAAGTTGTGAAATGGCTGGAGCTGCTGGAATATTGCTCGACATGGAGGGAAAGTTGACTATTGGAAAGAGACTGAAACCCGACTGTTCAAACTAAAGGAACAGTTGAGAAATGGCCCGAAAACTCTGGTTGAGTGTCTCGATGCCTGGGAACATATACTTAAATTAGGATGAATTGTACACATGTATACAGAATGTATGTATACTAGGGTATGCATTCAGTGTATTAGGACTAATGCCTTTTCTATATAATGGTCAACAAATGTAAAAATCTCAAGCGAAACTTTTTTAATTCTGTGAGTGGATCATACCATTATAATTGCAACAGGTAAGAGGCAAGAGATTGGTTGTGCACCTGACCATTATAATTGTGACTGCAAGCGGTCTGCGTTATTGGAGGACACCAGGGCAGGAATATGCTTGCCCTTTTCACGAACACCTGAGGTCAACTAGTTTTCAGTGTTCCATTCATATAATTTTCACCCCTCTGTTGCTTTTACGCCCAATGGTTTGTTTGGTTGGTTGGTTGTTTGTTTGTTGTTTAACGCCACACTCAGCAATATTCCAGCTATATGACGCCGGTCTGGAAATAATCGAGTCTGGAACAGACAATCCAGAGATTGACATCATGGGCATCGATCCACGCAATTGGTATCGATGACAAACACCAACCAAGTCAGCGGGCTGACCACCCGATCCCGTTAGTCGCCTTTGGTGTGGTCAGGCTCGCTGACTTGGCTGAAGCATGTCATACGCCCAATGGAATCAGTGATGGTGGAAAATCGAGACTGGTTATTCTGTGGGATAGACGTCATATTCAAATGGCCCTGTACTTTGATTGTCTCGGCAACGTCCGTTGCTTTTTCCGACAACAAACCTGGAAATGGGAAGTAATTGTCTAGGATGTCTTGCCCCAGGTTGTACGTTCTCTAGTTCTTGACGTCAGGGCCGGCAGAGACCCGGAAGTTGTCATCGTATAGGGCATTACGATAGAAGCTGCTACTCAGTGTGTCAGGTTCCATGAGGAAGTTCCGACAGGTCAGACAAACCGTAATTATCTGCTTATGTCAACATACAATTGTACTTGCCTTGTTGTTTTGCCGTGCAAGACGTCTGCGCGACATTTGATTCTATCTATCTGTATTTGTGATCTATCTTTGTCGGAATAAAGGTGAGGTAGGGTGAGGTGAAATCGGGTTTAACGTCGCGTCCAAGATTATTGCACGTACATAGCGACGTACATGCACGTGTGTGTGTGTGTGTGTGTGTGTGTATGTGTGTGGCTGCTTGTACTAGTCCGGACGGATGCCGATTTATAATGCTAGCCAACTGAGATACCATGCCGCAGTTGAACATGAATACCCACTCAGACACAGTATTCTGACTCCGAGCCGACCAGTCCTTGTTTTTGCCCCTTAATGCCGAGCGCCAGACAGGGTAACAACAAGTACCATCTTTTATGTCTTTTGGTATGCCGCGGCCGGGTTTCGAACCCCCGACCTCCCGCTTTCGGTGCGTATGCTCTACCACTAGACCACGGAGGCGGTAGTGTCGGAATACAAATGTCAAACGTACGTTATACTTAGGAAAATCATTGTTTTGCAGAAATTAAACCTGCATGTTAAGAATCGTCTCGTATTGCCAACTGTTTCTTTTAAATCGGTTCATAAATTTTCTTGTAGCTTAGTGTATATGCCGGAGGGTCGCGATGTGTGAAATATATAAAGCATTTTATTAAATGAATGGATAATGGCCATGCTTATCCAAATCAAAACCTTTTAGCTTATTGTTTTACCTTTATGACAAACTATGATTGCTAATGGTGAGTTGTTTTGACGAACGTGTCAAGTTCGGCGTGCTTCCTGCTTGAGTAAAAGAAATCAAAACGAGTATCGGATGTCAGTTGCTATTGAACATAACATCACTTGATAATGGACCATATAGGGTGAGTCACAGTTTGACCTGGTTGAAATTATATGTCATCGTAACTCAACGACCGTGGTCGATGCCCACACGATTTGAGTGATTACATCAGTTGAGGTTAACGCCTCTTTGAACAGTATTTCTGTAATCACAGCGTGTCCGCTTAATGGTCATGGTAAACCCGAGGTGATGCAGCTCGTTTACCACTTTGGTTCTAACCATAATCAGGGCGATTCTGGGATTCCAACCCATTTTTGTAGGATCCTTGCACGATTAAGGGACGCTACTCTGTATATGGGAAAATTGATGTTTTACGACAGTTATCAGGATGACTGCTTCATGACGATATGAAGATCAAGACAAACAAGTGGTTGACCCAAGACCAACGGTCCACGCATTAGGGAACGATGACATACTGTCTGCAATGTAAACTGTTCCTCATTTAAATCGGGGGCGGTCGGGTAGCCTAGTGGTTAAAGCGTTCGCTCGTCACGCCGAAGACCCGGGTTCGATTCCCGACATGGGTACAATGTGTGAAGCCCATTTCTGGTGTCCCCCGCCGTGATATTGCTGGAATATTGCTAAAAGCGGCGTAAAACCATCCTCACTCAATCACTCATTTCAATCGGGTGTTGGGATAGCTTAGTGGTCTTCCGTTCGTCGCACCGAACACACTGGTTCGAAACCTCACATGAGTACAGAGGAATATTGCTGAGTGCGGCATTAAATAACAATCAAACAAACACATGGGTACAATGTGTGAGACCCGTTCTTGATGTCCCCCATCGTGACACTCTCTCCTGCTACAATCATTCCCACGACAGCGATGAATTTTACCCTACGATTCTATTTTAATGACCTGTTTATTTCGTTAGATATCTTCCAAACAAAACCTACAAGCCGTTCTGTTGTTGAAAAGAAATGTTTATCACCTTTCTTGAAAGGAAATCAACTTCATCATAAAGCCCCCATTAACGTTTAATCAGAAATAAAACGTTGCCAAATTGCACGATTCGGACTCCACCAATTACTGTATTAGTAATCATAATCAAGACAGCGTGTTTTATTATTGCTTCATAAACTATTCGTACAACTTGACGACAAGACGATTTGTGAAATCAGCCATTAATGTATGTTCCCAAAGTCATTAACGCCAATTACACGTTGGATGAATGTGCTTTAAGCATTGGTCCAGGAATGTTAGCAACTTTCAAGACATAAATGTTTCCTGCCAGCTTCCGTACAGAGCTTCCCACAATCAATAAAGGACCTAAGTCTTAATCTTGGGGTGAAACACATGTGCCTCCCAATGTCATTACTTTGGGGAAACACGACCAATCCCTAAATCACGTCATTATCAGATTTGTCAATATTCAGTTGGAGGAAGTGCCTTTTTACCAATTTATCTCGCATTCTGAGAGGTTTCGCAGGTTTTAACTTTCCTTATTTTTTGCTGAAAAGTTAACTCTTAACTAATTTGAAAAGTTGTGAAAAATACCTCATGCAGGCGAAACTAAGCGTACTGAAATTGTTAAGTGACGAATGAAACGCTTGGATTTGACATGATGTATTTGTTTTAAAGAACCAGCAATAACAAACATGTTACGATGTAGTATGAACTAAAACTTGCCGTCATGATAATGAGAAGCATATCCATTGAATGAATACACATGGCAAATCGATCCGGGCTGTAATGGATGAGTGTTAAGCTGTTGAAACATCCAGTGGCATGTGACGGGGGTCCTGTCTCCATGAAGTCGTGATGAAGCAGTCTATAACATAACCTCTGTCTTCTTGGTCCACAGCTCATTGATCGGTGAGGATCTGCCGCTGTCGGACATACGTTGTGATGGATCTTACACCGGCGACGATGTCGTGTGGAGGGTACGTCTGTATGTACTAGGTAAGTAAATGTCACGTTTGATATCATTGACGTGGTCGGACTATCCCTCGTGCCGTCGTATTAAGAATTAATTGGCAGCGTGTTTGGTTTTGTTATTGTGATGAGGATTTTCAGCTGTATGATGGTGTACCGGAATTACTGCAGTAAGGTAATATAGTTGTACTGTCTGTATGGCGTTATCGAGGGACGTAAATACGGTATAGTATGTTAAGATGTCGTGTGTGTTTGTGGTACTGTCGTATTCAGAGTTGCAGTTATGTTTATTGAGTGTATTACTGTGTAATGCAGGAGATTAGTGACACATTGATTGACGTGGTAAAGAAACAGGTTATACTTCAATGACGTTAAAATGAATGGCATGCCAACTTGCTTGGGGTGTGTTTGGATTGAGTTGTTCATTGGGTAGGGATGGGTAGAGGGGAGTAGGGATGGGTGAAATAGGGATGGGTTGCGTAGAGTGGGGTGGAGTAGGGATGGGTAGGGTGGAGCAGGGAAGGTTGGCGTAGAGTAGGATGGAGTAGGGATGTTTAGGGTGGAGTAGGGATGGGTGGCGTAGAGTAGGATGGAGTAGGGATGGGTAGCGTAGGGTAGGGTGGAGTAGGGATGGGAAGGGTAGGGTGGAGTAGGGATGGGTAGCGTAGGGTAGGGTGGAGTAGGGATGGGTAGGGATGGGAAGGGTAGGGTGGAGTAGGGATGGGAAGGGTGGAGTAGGGATGGGTAGCGTAGGGTAGGGTGGAGTAGGGATGGGTAGGGTGGAGTAGGGATGGGAAGGGTGGAGTAGGGATGGGTAGGGTAGGGTGGAGTAGGGATGGGAAGGGTAGAGTAGGGTGGAGTAGGGATGGGCAGGGTGGAGTAGGGATGGGTAGGGTGGAGTAGGGATGGGAAGGGTGGAGTAGGGATGGGTAGGGTAGGGTGGAGTAGGGATGGGAAGGGTAGAGTAGGGTGGAGTAGGGATGGGAAGGGTGGAGTAGGGATGGGTAGGGTGGAGTAGGGATGGGAAGGGTAGGGTGGAGTAGGGATGGGAAGGGTGGAGTAGGGATGGGTAGGGTGGAGTAGGGATGGGAAAGGTGAGTGGAGTAGGGATGGGAAGGGTAGAGTAGGGTGGAGTAGGAATGGGAAGGGTAGGGTGAGGTAGGGATGAGTAGCGTAGAGTAGGATGGAGTAGGGATGGGTAGAGTAGGGTGGAGTAGGGATGGGAAGGGTAGAGTAGGACGGAGTAGGGATGGGTAGAGTAGGGATGGGTAGAGTAACAATGTGGGGTAGAGTAGTCTATATGACGATGTGGCATACATATTACCTGTCCCAATTGGTTAACGCGGCCATCTTGTGCTCGGGTCTTGTTAACAAAGGACGCGAAAATGTATGCGTGGATGTTGATGTATGTTCCAACACGGCCTGAAAGGCTGCTCTCTACAGAGACTATATATCAACACCATCGCCAACTGATCCTGGCTCTGATTCAAGGTTCACACTCACGCTTACAAAATCCATATCTAGTTCAACATGCTTTTACATTATTCATCAAATAAAAGTACAATGCAATGATTATATTCAATTTCTTTGAGTCAACATATATATATTATATACATTACTGATAAATATACATATATGTCCAATGTCTATTCATCTTGTGTGTTGTTATAAGAAATGTATGTCAACTGAAGTGTATTCAACATGAAGCACCATCATCGTATAGAATAACCTGTAGTCTCCATGCCTCGGCAACAACGTATAGCTTAGACAGTGACTCTCTGTCATGGCAATAACAGAAATGTCAATCATTAATGTGCTTGCGCTCACTGTGTAATTAGAGTGTGACAGTCGATGGTGCAGAGGTTTTGCTTTATTGTTGCTTAACCAGCACTCAGCAATATTCCAGCGGTCAGTAATTAATTAATCCAATCTGGCCTTGACATTGCAGTGATTGACACGAACCTCGGTCTACGCAATTGGAATACGATGACATACATCAACCAAGTCTCGATCTTGACCACCCGATCCTGTTGGTCGCTTCTTACGATATGCATTGGTGTTGAAAACCAATTCTAACCCGGATCTTTACTGGGTGGGGCACTGTGGTAACACTACACATGGCAACGTTGAGACACAACTACAGTGAAACCTCTTTAATCCGAACAGTACCGGTGCCAACGGTAAAGGTTTATGAGGAGGGGTCCGGATGGCAGGGTCCTGACTAATAGGATTTCACTGTATGTGGTACAATGATGGTCTGCTTGGTGTGTAGATCACTAGTGAACCATTGTCCTCTTGTTGTGTAGAGCGGGGATCGTCAAGGGCGGATCAAGCAATTTTAAAAGGGAGGGGTCCAAATCATCGAATAAATCTACTGCCTACAGGATCATGTACTACATTTCGTTTCAAAAGGGTTGGGGGGGGGGGGGGGGGGGGGGGGGGTCCACCATCCGTTCTGTAGAGTGAGCATCGCCAAGGGCGGACCCAGCATTGTTTTTAAAGGGAGGGGTCCAAATTATCAACATCCCCTCTAAGGTAATTTTACTGCCGGCAAGATGCTACATTTGGTTTTAAAAGGGCACACACACACACACACACACACACACACACACACACACACACACACACACACACACGCACACGCACACACGCACACGCACACACACACACATACACACCTCTGGATCCGCCTATGGTCACTACATGTCAACAGTGAACCATTGTCTTCGTGCTGTGCTGTGCAGTGCAGTGCAGTGGCTACATGAATACACTGTTGGTGGAGGTAGATGAAAGGGTCTCTATGGTAAAGCACTCGTATATCAGCCACGGCAAGGCATCATTATCCAGGTCATCCAGGTGTAGAGGGTTGTATGCCATTGTGATGAATGCACTCCATGAACCTTGAGCAATTATGATAGCTGCATTGAAGCACTGAAGCTACGAATCAATCACCGATTGTTTTAACTGTTTGGATACCCAACTAGTGTTGTAGACCCAATTAGTCTAGGTAACCGCGCCCCTTATCCGGGCATGGCTATTTTCAGCTGTTCCGCGTATAACAACAGAGGACCATGGATCGTCCGTCAGGCTCGTCTGTCAATGTGCGCTGCAGAATGTGCATCTCTGGTCTAAAAAAACATGAACTATATTTATATTGTTTCCTTAGTCCATCAATGATACTGTAAGGTTAACTGTAGTTCATCCATAGTGAATACTGAATAGTGAGTATGGTTTTACGCCGCTTTTAGCAATATTCCAGCCATATCACGGCGGGGGACACCAGAAATGGGCTTCACACATTGTACCCATGTCGGGAATCGAACCCGGGTCTTCGGCGTGATGAGCGAACGCTTCAAGCACTAGGCTACCCAACCGCCCCTGAATACTAAATAAGGAATCAAGATTGAAAATGAAAACTGGAAGCAAGATGTTGGTGCGTTCTAGTTTTTGTTTTCTACCTGGTTCGCTGTGCTGCTGAGTTGGTGTTAAGGGGGCCCTCGTCTATGCTGCAGTTGTAGATGTTAAATATGTAATTGTCTTTATTAAAGGGGTTGTGTTCTTGGCATCCTAGTCGTCCATGCTACAGGGTCGGAATTAAGAAGAAGAAAGTGGCACAGAGTTTCTAATTATGATCCAATAGGAATGGAAATAAATGTTCCCATGTTGCCCCAACTTTTCTGAATGATTCTCTTTCTTTCTTGCAACCTACCAAAGGACACACACACACACACACACACACACACACACACACACACACACACACACACGAAAGTGTGCGAGGAATTATTCACCTTGCGTTTATCTAATGGGAAGGGACAAGCTCGGACATTTCACCAAAGGCGTTCATTAAATACACTGTACATTAGGCGCAGCGTGGGGGCTTCCAGCGGACTCGTGAAGAGGTCTGGGTTTGGTCAGACAGTTTGACACAATCAAGGAGCTGCCTCATGTCCACTCGTATACTCCTATCTATAAATCAGAGATTTTAGAAATCAGTAACGACACTGACACCATCTGGAAACATTGAGAGCTGAGTTAAGTGACGTTAGCTTCTGAGTAATGGGTGCAGCCTTCAAAGGTTCTGCCCTCAGCTGTATTTTACAGGTTACACATACCTGTACTCCTGTATCCAAGGCTAATGGGGCGTCTACAGTAACACCATCTTGACCCACTGTATGGGCTTTTTGTATGGGTGTGAAACAGGATTTGGACTGTGATTTAATTGTTTGTGTGTAATGTTGTTATGTTGGGTCGGTGCTCATACCTTCGAACATTGGTTGTCTGGTACAGTCCGAAAACTATTTCCGACTTCTGTGAAAAAGCATCCCACTAGGCATCCTGTCAACTCAAACACTGAGGTGAAACGGGTTGCCTCAGTGTGGGACGGATAGTGTAGTTACTTAAGTAACAAATAATTATAGTGGTTTAAGCGTTCGCTCGTCACGCCGAAGACCCGGGTTCGATTCCCCACATGGGTACAATGTGTGTACTCACTGGTGTAGTTGATCGGAATACTTAGTGTTTAAATGAAGATCAGTATTGTGTTAATTCTTAAGTACTTTAAGACATATGCTTGAGTAGTGACATTCTTCCATATTTCGACCGGCAGATGAACCCGCATGGAGATCCGTGATGTCATTTTTTTACAAATCGACGTCATATACCTGGAATATTTCTGAGTGCGTCCTTAAACAACAAACAAACAAAACAGACATGTGGTGCTAATATATAGAGAATCTCCAGCGAGTGTCTTTTGATATCAAATATATCAACACGAGTTGATAAAAGTGGGAAAACGTTTTTTTCCACTTTTATCAACGAGTCTTGGTCTATTTGATATCAAAAGACACTCAGGTGAGATTTTATTTATCATCCAGCATCATCCGAGTTATCATCCATAGTAGGGTTTCCTTGTTCACTTCCTGTTTCAGTTCCATATCGTCTACTTCAATGTAATCAGGTGGCGGACCAGCTCATACACAAGCATTGTAGAGAGGAAGCTGCGACTTGACAACCTTGATAGTTCC